CATAATCGTACAAATTTAATTAGAAATGGTAAACTGATTATGAAATCTAACAGAGACTAGTACTGTATTTTTGGCGGAACGGCGGCGTATGAAAATATCCCCTTTTATGCTTTTCAAAATTACTTCAGAAAAAGACTTTAGTCATTTTTATAAGCAATCAAAGGCTTAAAGAATTTTTCTGAAGTAACTAAAATTAATAATTTATCAAATAGATATGATTTTCCAAACAAACTGACTGCTTTACCATGTAATAATAAGAAAAATTTAAATATACGACGCATATGAAAATAACTACTGTAAATCCGTTTTTGTTCGTGAGAACTTAATTTTTGCGTAATTACGAGAGATTGTCTGCCCGCGAAAATTTCAAGGAAAAAGATAATTAACTTGACCTGACCTTGCTCCTAATATAAAACGGTCAATTTTAATCTAATTGATACCATCACTTATTGATATTGCCTTCTTGAATCTGTGAAAATTTCATTATTTTTTTAAAACAATAAATATGAGAAGAATCCCTCCTTAATTTTGTTTTTTATTGTATCCTGAATATATATATATAAAGCATATACATACTTTAAAAAGAATCTTCAAAAGGAATAGGAATTGCCATTATAAATGCATCAACGAAATTATGGCTAGATTACAATATTGAAATAGAACAAAACACACGGTACAATGTATTATGTATACTATATACTGTAAAGTGGATATTTTAACGGGGTAAAATTTTGCGATTTCCATTAACAAAGCGTTCATGTTTGGGTGAGTTTTTGCGGAACTTAAAGAATTTAATTATGTGTTAGTTTGTTGTTTAGTCAGTATGATACCTCTTTTCCTAACCGTTGGTGGTGTGGTTAATATATATAAGGCTTCGCAAAATCCGCAACCCCTCTAAGTATTGAAATATGGAATTTTCATTATCATGGTAAGGTAGTTCATCCAAACGTATTCTTTCATTTTTTTCAAGATATATAATTTATTTTCTATTCCTAAAAATCATTGTGTTTGAGTCAGAACAAAATGACACCCTCTCTTTAGCAGTAATGAATGTCATTATAAACGTACCTAAAAAGAACTTGTGTTTGCTTTTCCCTTGTGAGCCAACACGTGTCTGAAATCACTGGCCACACGTGTCTTAGGGAATTCATTCCAAAAGAGATATAATTTACCCAATTTTCATTAGAATTATTTCGTTCGTGTAATTCAATGACCACAAATTGGTTGCATTTCGTTTTTAGTCATTATTGTAAAGCATCATTTATGCTCATTAGAACAAGTGAAGCAACAGCTCATGAGCCAAGCGACGAGAGTCCTGTACAGGCAAAATGATTCATAGCTACAGAATATTTGGACGTTTTCTTCTGATATTTACTGTTTATACTCAAACGAGTATTATTTACGGATAAATAACACACTTTATTTTTCTCAAAAATCAGCAAAATATCTAATAGATTTACGTCCATATAGATGAATTGAATAATATTTGCAATAGTAAGTGTGGAAATTTTGTAAGATTTTGTAATAATGTCATGCAGTATATGCAAGAATGTGTATCTAGATCTTTATATAGAAAATGGCACAAAGACGTATGTTTGAACATTAAAAGAAAATCTACGATTTCTTGATATTTTAGAAAATTAATATTTACGTTTTAATATTTACGTTATATATATTCAAAATCAGTCAAAAAATATATTTCAATCCGTGCATTTTGTTTGTTTGTTTGTTATTAGTCCTTCATACTTACTGCGATATGTAATTCAAATTTTAAAACTCAGTTTCTTCAAGAATTCGATACATCTCAAGTGGGTTTTTAGGTGTTTGCCACGAATTATGCTTTATTGCATAATGATCAAATATTTCTTGACCAACAACCATTTTGAAGATGAAATGTATTTTACATACAAATATTTATTAAGAAACAAAATGAAACGGATTTATATTAATAGAACATGTAACATGATTACCAATATCAACAAAAAAAAACGTCAAGACAAAATAACTGACGTTTTTCCTGTGACACATTGATGCGTGTTTTAAGAGAAAAATAATCAAAATACACTGACATAAGCTTGTCCCTAGAGCTTGGCAAGAAAAACTTGAAGAATTATTGATATTTGACGGTCTAATATCACACTTCGACATCATGGCAAAAAACGAGACAAACACGTCTACAGACCAAGTTCCTGCCGGATTATTAACACGTACGTCTTCTTACGTCACTGGCGATACCAAAGACTTGCAAAACTACTTACATCACTGGTGATACCAAAGACTTGCAAAACTAATACGAGAGAGAGAGAGAGAGAGAGAGAGAGATTACTAGTACTCTAATTGTTGTCGTGAGAGCGATTTAGCTCTACTTTGTTGCAAAACACTATGAAATGATGAAGCTTAACAAGAAAGTAATGTTTTAAAATCTTCTAGTGGACAAAATTACTTCAAGTAAAGTGCTCATAGATACACGTAGATGTTGAAAAAATTATCGTTGTTTTTGGAAATATCAAACAAATACATTTTATAATATCATATGATGTTTGTTAATTTGTTGCTTGTTTTGCCCCAATTGCTTGCTTAAAATTATAGAATAAATTATTTTGGTCGGATAAACTTCCTAGCTGGAAATATGGGTGGGGGATTAAAGATGTCGAGTCCTCAAGATTGCAACAACTCTGAAAGAGAGATGAAGAACATATTTATTAGGATAAATTATTTTCTGTCAGATAAACATTATTGAAAATTAAGCCTATACAAAACAAAGAAACCTCAAACTTGACGCAAAGCATGGAATGGTATTTCCTAGGGTTTCATTCTCCATAATATTTAGCTTGTTCTTTATTATTCCGATTATGGATAACCATATGCTACAGCTGCAAAATATAGCAAACAGGAACCAACATTTGTGGCAACAGAGCACCAGTCTTTTTGCTTTATTTCAATGCTTGGGGAAACGTACAAGATCTTATTTAAACAAACAACTGAGCCTCCCATGTGCAAGATGTACGGGCATGAAAACGAATAGTCCTTTTTCCCGTAAAATACGATCTAGATGCTCAGATTTAGCCCAAGTAAATCACTCGGCATGTTGAGTTGAGACGAGGTCATCCCCTCAATTTCTGCATTGCCAACAGACCTAAGTTGTCCATGCGTCGATGAGTTTGATCGCACAATAGGAAAGGTCGATCATCACTTCAAGGAAAAACACCTGTTATCCGCATTAAATAATCGATTGATTTCAGTTTTTGCCGAAACTTGAGATTGTTTGGATAAAAAGAACAATGCATTTCAATTGATGTACCTGATATCATTAGGAAAAATTAACGGCAATGAAGAATATATATTTACTGTGATTGCGGTACTCTCATCGTTAATTTATTTCATACATGATAATGAAGATAAGTTCTTGTGTAATTATTTATAAAGCGATTTTAATTGCATGTTCTGGCTTTTTTTCAAACTCTTGGAACGAATTTCGTTCACCAATTTCATTCTAATTTCATTCACCAAACATTACGAAGATTCCGTTCCCATGATGTTTTTTGTTTTACTTTTAACAACAGGAAAATATATGTCTGTCGCCAGATTAGCAATGTACAATGTGCATTTTTGTTTGTTAACAAGAACAATTAGCATGCATTTTGAAGAGGAATACGTGACTACTTATAACGAAGCGCTAGCATTGTCATTCAAGAATCATGCGCAATGAAGACCTTGAAAACAGTTTCCGGTCTTTCAAGGCTAATGAGGGTGGGAAAATCTTGTAGTTACTATTAGAGTACTTCAGAAATTAGGGTTGGTAGTGGATGTTTTGCTGTGAAGAAGTCAGCGGGGGAGTGTGACCTTGTCCTAAACGACGGCCATTATTAAATGAACCTCAAGAATGAGGAAGAGGCCTTTGAAAACCAAGGCTTTAATGATCACGGCCCATCGTACTTTTCCACTTAACAAAAGATCCGGTTAAACAACATCCGTTCTGGTTCATATAATAAACCTAGCAAAATCAAACGTTAAATCTTGTTGTAAGAATTGATAATCAAACAAAAGAAAATAATTAGCGATATTGTTTTTTCAACAATCTATAAATGTTTTGACAATTCTGGAATAAAACATAGTTTTGGGAATTAAAACATGTGTGTTCTTTTAGACGTGTAAAAAAAAATTATGCCAGACCGAAACATAGAAAAAGTAGGCTATTTAGTGGAAATTAAAGATTTTCATAGCATATGAAAATTATCTCAACACAGGTATTATATGTTTACTCTAAGAATTAACTAATAGTCGCCCACACACGTTTTGTACTGTAGGAGATTAGGTCATATAATAATCATACTGTTGTAGCGTTCCCGGATATTTCCATTATTTTATCAATAATTCATGATTTTTTTTCTTATGAAAGTTGAAAATTAGTGTTTTGCCTCGTAAACAAATATTCATGAATTTAAAAAGTCAATTTTTGAGGAAGGTATAAACGATGTCGATCTTTACTTACTGGTATATTCTTGTTTTTAATTATAAGCAATTTTTCTCGATAAACTTCATTAATTAAAAATACGCTTAAAAATCGATTTTTCAATAATAATATTTTTAAATTCTACTGAGAAAATAATATAAAGATTCAATTGTAGCACATGGTATTTAACAGCCTGGCATATTAACGACATGTACATTGTAAATAGTTAATCAGTTTGATTAAATTCTTCTTTTTTTTTTTCTTTTTGCTGACCAAAGACATCTAAATACTACTTTGATACTGCAAGAAATTGTATAATAATACAATTCAAAAAAAAAAAAAATAAAAAAAAATAAAAAAAATAAAAAAAAAAATAAAAAAAAAAAATCATATTCTCATCTTAAAGAAAATAATAGGAAATGATTAGATTGCATTCACATTCTTAGGAAAGTGATAATTTAAAAAAAAAAAAAAGATGTGTGAACACTTGTTATGAACTTCCGTGAAACAGACTGAATACATCGAAAACGTCTTTTTTTCATTCCAGGAAAGAAATGTTGGAAGAAAGTATGATGCATTCGTTCGGTCACCACCAAGCACACCACCACCAGCACCTTCACCACCAACACCCTCAACAAATGTGTAACAACGGACAAATGATGATGCCACATGACTACGGTAGCGATCTCGCCATGTCCGCCAAAATGTTAGACGCGCGCCTACCTGATGACGTCAGAGTTAACCTGTCATTCGTCAAAAACGAACCATTGGCCCCCTCATATCTTCGTCCCCCACCCTTCGACCATTCTCATCACAGGTTTCCACACACCATTCCTCCCGTCTGAGAACAATCCACGCGCCATGTGGCGTTCTGTGAGTCTCCTTCATAATGTGGTAGATTTTGCCTCGTCACCTGTTACATGATACTCGGGATCTACTGATAAGTCTTGCCTTTTTTAACTTCACTATGATGAAAATAATTACAATTCAGTGATGGTCGGACTATATGACTGCATTCCAATTTATTGAGGGTATATTACCGCCATTAGTCTGCATTTTTGACATTTAATGCTGTTTTTAGTGCTGGCGATTTCATTTTGTTGCACTCATGTTGACATTGTATGTTTTGTTGTTATACGTTAATTTTCTAAGAATTAGGTTGATGATTTTTTTAAACTAAATGGTAAATAAAATTAATTTAGTGTGCTTATGAATTTAAAAGCAGTTAACAAGGATTAGAGGAAAAGTGAAGCATGCGCCAAGAAAGTAGTACTATTAGTTTTTCATTGACAACTGTCTCTCGCCTGACGAAAGATATGTCTGTTGTCATAGGTGAATAGTTTTTTTTTTTTATCAATACATAACAAATTGATTTTAGAAACTGAAACACGTAGATATGTTGAATCCATTTAAATTGTCAATATTAGATGAAAATACACCTTTTCTCTATTATCAGTTAATTCAAACACAAATTAAGGCAGCATTCACTCCACAATATCGGCAAAGAAATAACCACAAGGCTTGATAGAACTTTACTTTTATTTCACTGATCAGTGCAAATCTTCAACTTGGTTAAATTTCATTTTCTTGGTAACAATTTTCCACAATGAAATTATGAAGAAAAATACATTCCAATTAAAGGAAATGAGATGTAATAATCAGAGTAGTGTTCTTTCTTTTAAGGTATTTTTTAAAAGTGAAAACCTCATGAACAAAGTATACAATTCCAAAGAAACTCTTAAAAAAAAGATGTTACCGAAATACAATTGATTTAGTTACATATTAAGTTACAAATAATTATTTAACGTCAATTTTGCTGGTAGTACTTTTAAATATGTATTTCTATTTAATTTCACGGTGTAGACAAATCAGAGGAAAAATATTCATTAAAAAGAAAACATGTTCGGTATCGTTTGAAAATTAATAATGAAATATACAAAGTTCTGGTTATATTTCTCCAATTAAATTGATTTTCTCTCTTTCTTTGATGTCATTTATGTTAAGTAAATATTAAATCATTGTCTTTGTCATGTATCTTTTCAAACAGAGAAATAAAGAGTATAGCGTTCGGACATAAATACAGGATTTTTTCATATGTTCAGGCTTACTGTCAGATTTTTTTTTTCGCCTTGAGATTTCTTGTGTTTTATTATTTTTTTTTACTTTGTGTATATGACCTTCAAATATAAGAGAACAATCATTACTGTGTGCATCTATGTATGTTATCCCGGTGTACAGATCCTGGGTTCATGGTTTCATGTCTTAAGAACATAGATTCCTTTGTAATATGCAAATGTCCTTTCCTAATCCTCAACAATTATATAAAATGGATGACCAAATATATGTGGTGGACGTCATATTCAGTAATGGATAATTCTTATGAATTCAGATGACACACATCAGTGATTCAGTTCTCTTCTTCGTGACAATCGATGTAAATTTGTGTATTTATTTTTTATTTTGTTCAAATATTTTCAATAAATGAACAGACATTACAATTCACTTGGTTGTAAGAAATTCCTTAATACTTGGAACCAGTAGCAAGGAAGCCCATTAAATGCTAGTTGATTATTGCAGTAGGTTTTTCATTTGCAATAATGATTATGACATATTAAACGGGGCAAATAAAAACCAGTGTTACACTGTATTCCGATGCATCAAATTGATGTAAAAGGCAGGGTTCCATCTTTCTGCACAATATTACATGGTAAGAATACCTAGAGATGAGAATAGTAAAGTATGTTAATATTGTGATGAATTCCTGTTCTAATAAGAAACAGGAAATCTATCTTTTAGTAAAAATTACACCATAACACTATATAAGCCAAGGGACGAAAAGAATGTAAAAACAATTCCAATATGACATTGGGATTATTGTAAAAAAGATGCCCTGTAAGATTTATTTGTTGAGATTCGTTATGAATATATATGTTTGTATTTGTTTGTAGAAAGTCACCCGAAGTGCTAAAATTCACAGTACATGTATATTTATTTCTTCCCTACGAAAATAATGCAGTTCATTTAATTTTTAATTAAAATATTTCCTACAGTTGCCTTGGCAAATGTCTTTGATATAGGTAAATTTTTATTGAACGTGGATGCTATTGTAGATGACAGTTTTTCTCAAGTACCTTCTCCTCCCCTGGGGAAACTACATTCTGTAAAAAAAAAAAAGACCACTAAACACTAAACAGTTACAAAACAGCTGTAAAGGAAGAAAATCTTAATTTATTTTCCAAGCAAAATAACTATCAAGTGTGACATTTTATATGATTTTTAAGTAAACACATTCATTAGAACACAAAAGTTAATGTTTATTATCATACCATCAAGGTATTTTCATTAATTGCTGATTTTTTTTTAAAAAATTCTCTAATAATTGGGAACATAAAAATCAAGTTTAAAACAATGTATATTAAATGTAAAGATTTATGGCGTTAAATGAAAACAAAGCCATGGATTGATTCATTAAAAAAACTTTCGTTTATGCATACACATTTTGACATAAATCGAGACGTAAATAGATTTTGGAGGGATCTGAAACACCGACCTAAATGCATCTACTTAAAAAAATACAAACATGGAATAGAGAACTAAATCTGTCAGCAAAATTGACAAAAGCTTATATCTGATTCCTAAAGGTCATAGAATTTATAGAAAACAAAACAAATTGACCCTTAGAGTTATGCAACCATAATATGAATGGCATTTTTTAAAAGCAGACGACAGGATGTACATCCTTCAGCAGGGAACGATAACTCATGAAATAAACATTTATGTAAGCAAGGCTCAGAATGTAATTCCGAAGTAAAATCTTTTTGAACAGTTTTTTTCCCCAGTTTTTGTTTCTAAATATGATTTGGGTTAATGAATTGGTTAAATTCAATACATGCTCCTAAAGGGGGGGGGGGGAATAGAAAATAAAAGAAATTAATCAGATCCTCTTCAGTTGCGCCAAATTTTCAAAATTAATATATTGAAATAAATTTGTTATGTTTGTATGTTCTTTGATGCAAAAAGCTCTTTGTTGGGCTTGAATAGGACTCCGAATTTAACTCTATGGAATGGTAATTTGACATGTGCCCAGCATGAACGAGTGTTCATGCAGGCTTGAACTGAAACTTTAAAAATATAGGCAATTGCATGGTAACCCCCCCCCCCCCCGGTATTCTTACTTTTCATAGGTCGAAATTTTGCTTCACCCATATACATGTATATAGTGAAAATTTGATATATCAAACAATCCTTACATATCGTATACTCTCTATTTAATTTAGAAATCAAAGGGTTTTTTGAAAATATACTGTTGTGGGAGTACTGTATAATAAGCAAACTGGTGCAATACTGAGTCCCTCCCGGTCTTGTAGAGTAGGTTTTCGCCTCTAAAATCTTTTCCCCCGGAAAACTGGCTCTAGAGCAGGATTTCCCACCAATGAAAAATAGGCTCTAGGAAAAATGACTCTAGGGTAGGATTTCCCCTTCGGAAATCCCACAATTCAATTTTCCGGGGGGGGGGGATCCCCCAAACCCAATAAAATATCATGTCTGTACTTATATATGAGCAAGATGGCCCCTTCTTTGATTTTCCCACAGGTGCTCTCGCAGTAGACAATCTTAAAGAAACATCATAAAAATCATAAGCAAAAAGTCTAGTGTGCATTCAACATGTAAATTTTCAAAATGGCAACCAGTTCCATTGAATTATACAAAGTATGAAAATTGAAAATTTTCAAATTTCATTTTTCCCAGTAACTGTCAAATTTAACCAATTCTTTTGAAGCATTAAGGTCAGACGACACGTTCCTCAAATATATATTTTGTATCTCTTTGTATTATATCAAACATTATTCATAATTGTCATTCTCCTGCGATTTCTAAATTGTTTTCAATATATTTTAAAAATCAAGTACACCAAATATTGTGACATTGGCATTTCAAATGAATACCCATAAGAATTATATAAGAAATATCACCCTCTGGTATTTTGCCCAAATGCCTGGTAAAGTACCTAATTTTTTTTGTGAGGAAACTTGTTTAAAAAGCAATACTTCAATGGCAGATTCTTGGAATCTCTTCTTAAAGTGTTATTCTTTGCATTTGGTCAAACTGGTTTCTGAAAAAAAAAAGGCAAAATGTTTTCGGTTGGAAAAAGTTTTAACGCAATACTTCAATTCGAAAACAAAGAGGTACCGCTGCGCCAAGAAAGGTGTTGAGACATTGAGTCTTATTTTTTTTTAAAGTGACTAATTTTACAATTTTTAGATGTATTTTTAGATTTCATACTAAAGTTCTTGAGTCGAAATCTCTCATATTTCCATGAAAAATCAATTGACTCTCATATAAACTTTTAGCCAAAATATTGTCTGTATGATTTTAACATTGATAAAATATGGGAAATCCTACTCTGAGAAAGAAGGAAGAGGAAAATTGGCTCTAGTGTGAGATTTCCACTCGGGGAGGAGGGTCCTACTCTAGAGTACAGATTCTTGGGGGAGCTGGCTATGGGGGAAATTCTACTCTACAACACTGGTAGTGGACGTAATTTGTCAAAAATAAAACCAAACTTGATCTATTACTTATCACGATAGAGCCAACTCAGAATATGCAAGTTTATGTATATTGGGTAAGTATGGAAAACCAAGTGGGATAGACTGACATGCAAACACAGGGACAAACAGACAGATGAACAGAAAGATCATCTCTTGTTTCACCGAGAGGGGATTAATAGAAATTTTCTCAAATCTTTTACATCAGGTATTTTTCTCCAAAAATTACAGTGGGTATTAAGATTAGTTTTATATGCTTGAAATGACCCAGGGTTCATTGACCAAAACGCGAACACCATTCTAAATCTACAGAAAACGTGTATTCATATTCCGCCATATCTGTGGTGCTTTTGTCTCCATGATTAGAATTTGACATGGAACTCTTCTGACAGTTTCTTATATTATCATTACATAAATTACACATCATCTGCTATAATTTGATATTTAGGAAACATCAGAAGGAGACAATAGTGTCTGTCATAAGCTTTGAATTTCTGTCAAGATCATTTCAATATGGTCATCCTATTCTTATCAAAGGGCTTTCGAAGATAAATAGAATCAGACTCAGGAATATTCCCTCCTAATTTCTATCTAAACTTTCAGAGTTTATTTACATGTATCAAGAAAATTTATGTGAGATTTCTAAACCCAAATGCTCCATCTGTGATCATCTTGCAACTTTCAGTTTAAATTTTCTTAATTTCATACATTATCAAAACCTCTCATATTTCTTTAAATGTACATGTAAGATTTCTGGAAGAACATAATGATAATACATTTAATGACGTCTGACTTTAAAAAAAAGGAATTGTAAATTATTAGTCCCCTACCGATAATTTATCCGGAGGGAACCATAGGTTTCCTCCTCGTCTGTACTGTCGATCTGTCTAGCTGTCCGTGTCTGTCCGTCCGCGGGAAACAGATTACAATTACAGGTAGGAGACTTGTGTCCTCTACAAAAATTTAGAATTTTTTCAATTTAAATTTGTATATGAGCTTATGTATTTATAATCTTACAGTGATTTGAAATTTATTTATTGTATTGCCTTTCTTACCTAAGAAAATTTTATTTTTAGAATTTTTATTACAAACTGATATGAGGCAGAATTTAGTTATAATTTATTACATCAACAGTGATAAATTCAGAGGTAATTTATAAATATACTAGTAATTCCATCCTAGATCATTGATCAAAAGATACAAATGTATACGTATATATATACACACAGTAGTTCTAAATCCATCTACTGATAAAAGTTGAAATATTAAGAATATATTGTATAGTTATAATTAAAGCTTTTGTTCTGTTATTATTGTTGTTTTTTGTTGTTGTTTATGTTGATTGGTTTAATCTTTTCTGTTCGTTTATTTGTTTTTTAATTGATGTGTGTAATTAAATCATATCATTTGTTACAAATGACTGGCTTATTGACTAAGAAAAATCAGGTTTCAGAGAGGGCAGGGAATTAAGAAATCGTAAAGTTTTGGAAACTAACAAACGATGATCGCACATGAGAAGCAAATAATATATGTAAAGAAGAAAGACTAGATATATGAACAAGAGAAAGGAAAAGTACAAAAGAAATTTCGGTGTATTATAGTAAGGAATACTGGTTTATGAGAAAAGAATAAGAGTATGGCTAAGGTGAGTGGAAACCATGAATTAACCATCACAGCTCGATCGGATAGCTCACACGCTGTCTGCAGTATATATCAAGTGACTCCACATTCAGTAAGGTCTACCGCTGCTTACAACATGAAGCGAAAAAACAAATGACAAAATGGAAACTTCAGTCTCAAGTTTTATTACCATGGATTCAAGTTTTTCTCACTGAAATTTCAACTTTCTAAACAATCTAATTTTACTCGACACTTCAAACTCAAGGTATCAATAGTACTATAAAATGTGTTAAGCTTAACAATTTCAATTGATACCCTGTTTCAGTTTTTTAATAT